TAAGTGTATCTGTAAAGTATTAAATTGTTAGAAAAACAGGTTGCTAAAGGCTCCAACTTGCTAATAGAGAAAAAAAAATGAGAGTCCAAAACATACTTATTAAACTATTTCAGTCTGTCTTCACCAAAGAAAAAAAAAAGAAACAGCAGGCCCACCTCCAGAAACCAAAAACTGCGCAGTCAAATATACCACCTATCACCATACACAGAGTTGGGGTATCACAATTGTTGAGTAAAGCAAATCCATCAAAATCATCAGGACCAGACAACATGCCAAAAAGAATAATGAATCCTCCAAATACCTCGCTCCAAATTTAACTATAATATTCCAACTCTCAATCGACTCAGGAGAGCTACCTGAGGACTGGAGAGAAGCAAATATATCAAGCATATACAAAAAAGGCGACACGCTTCTGGCAAGATACTACAGACTTGTATCACTAACATCCAATCATAAACTTTATAAAAAAAAAAAAACACCCCCCCCCCCCCCAAAAAAAATTTGTTCTTAAAAAGAACTATAAACAGACTGGTAAATTTGAAGAATACAGAGTACGAATACAAGAATTTCAAGCAATAGCTCTGGAAAAAAGACGCATGATAAAAACATTACTTTTAACTTAAGTGGTACAACTCTTGCCTGTGAGGAAGAAGTGAAACTGCTTGGTATTACTTTTGATTTTTACTTAAACTTCAATTCTCATATATCAAATATTTGTAAGAAAGCAGCTCGACAATTGAATGTGTTAAAATGTTGGGAAATATCTCTGTAAACTTGGTAAACTTACCATCTATCATTCCTTTATAATGTCAAACCTCAGTTATTGCCCTCTGGTGTGGCATTTCAGTAGTGAACAGAATTGTAAGAAAATAGAAAAAAATTCAAGAGCGAGCATTAAGATTTATTTATAATGACTACACTAGCAGTTATGACCAGCTTCTAGAAAAATTAAACCTCCCCTCACTGAAAATCAGTCGTATGAGAGCCATGGCCCTTGAAGTTTTCAAAATTTTAACTAAGCAAAGCCCATTGTTCCTGCAAGATTAAGTTCAACAGATAAATTCCACATACAATTTTAGGTACCAGAAGACTTTGGAATTACCTGGACCAAGAACCACTAGGTATGGTAAACAATCTTTCAGATAAGCGGCTGCTGCGTGTGGAACTCCTTACCAAACCATGCAGGGAAAGTTTCCACCCTCAATCAGTTTAGAACCCTCATTGACACATGGAAGGGGGGGGTGCAAATGTAGTTCCTGCAGAAGCCAGAGCAAAGGGGCTGCATAGCTGATGAGACATCACTTATTTTATTTATTTTTTATACTATCAGTTTTTATTTTACAGTATTTCATTTATTTTTTTTTTGAGTCTTTCATCTGTTTTACTGATACTACCTTTTTTATTTAGTTTTCTAAGATTTTTTTTATATCTATATATTTAAACTTTGTTAATTTCATAAAATTTCCAATAATAAGGATCCTGGAGACTGAAACTTCTGCAGTAACATCCTATGATGGCAGAATTGTAAGCTCTCCAGGCTTGGATTTCTCGAAAAAATCTTAAGTTTTTACTCAATTTCAATCTCAAATCCTGAGAAAAAAACTCAGCTAAGATTTTTCTCAAATCGCGTTTCTCGAAACAAACTCAGTCAATTCTCAGCTAAGTTTATTTTTTTTCTCAACTGAGTTTTTTCAACGTTACATAAGCGGCCTTACTCCTTACTTCCGGTTATAGTATCCAATGTAAATAATCGTCTGCTACGGCAATCTAGGCCTATATTATGGAAGTGAAAGTTCCAAAGACACCCCGCCGGCCAAATTGGACCGAGAAGGAAAAACTGGTTTTGGTTGAGGCGGTCCGACAACGCGAGGACCGCCTCTTCGGAAAAATGAAAGGGTCGGGGGTGTCAAAAATGTGAAACTCAAAGAGGGGGCGTGGGAGGAGGTAGCAGAGGCGGTGAATGCGTAAGTACCATTTGCAGTATATTTTATAATCATGAACACGTATATATTATGCTTTATTATGCATAATTGATAATTATTACTATTGTTTTAATAGAAAACGAGTGCCTCGTGTGTGTGTGTTGTTTTGTTTTAAGAATTGGAGTTATTCCTCTTATTTGCCATAATTAGTTTTCAGACGTATCTAGGGGAATTCCAAGTTCTTGAGACAACAAACGGACATTTAAAAAGTTCAGTCATTTTAAAATTGCTATATATCTAGGTATATGCTTGGGCAGAGAGGATGTGTAGCATAATTATAGGCCTACATTGTTTTCTGTATTATTTAAAAAAAATACACAATGACTTAATATGACAAGTCAGCGGCTACACTTCTCTACACGGAGGCGATGCGGGTTGACAACTAGATTGTCCACCGAATGCAAAGGGCAGGGACCAGACATGTAGATTGGCATAATGGTTATTAACATGAAAGTTAACATTCGTGAGCATCAATCTACAGAAGTCTTTTCCCTAGCAAAATTCAGAAAGTACTCGTACATTTTGTACATCTATTATATATTTCTACAGTTATAGTGAGAGTTACCCCTTATTTTACTAAATTCAGATTATAGACTTAGTAAAGTTAAAATTTCTATAATTTTTTTCTTTATTTAATAGAATAAACGCATTTGAAATGAAATAAAAACTGCCTATTTAAAGTTCAATCTTGTTTCAAGCTCAGCGTCATTTGCATTTGTTTTAAAATACTGGAAATAGGTACCCTTGTATATATCATTTTTGAAAGCTTGTTGTGGAAAATACCTTGACAAATAAAATATTATAAATTGATTACAGACAGTCCGATACAGTTGAAAGAACTGTTGAAGAAGCCCGGAAGCAATATGCAAACATCAAACAAAGAGGTACAGTATGTAGAATTTTATTAATCAATTATTTATTTAATTTTTTCACCTGTTTTTAAAATGTGTCCATATATCACTTATAGCCTTCAATTTAAGAGACACTTTTATGATAACCTAAATATATGAATGGAAAATTTTCAGGTATATAAAAAAATCTTATGATTTTGTTTCTCTGGGAAATCTCTCCAATAAGTTATGGCAAAATTATGGATGACAATATTAATATTTTGTTTTTATGCAGCTAAAGAAAAATAAGATGCAATTAGACGTCCTGTCACTGGTGGAGGTCCAAAACCCCCCTCTCCTTCTCCAGTGGAAACAGAAATACTAAATCATCTTGAAGAAAGACCCACTCTTTGTGGTCTGTCTTCAGGTCATGATACAGAAGAAGGTATTTTATTATTTGAGTATCGGTAGCAAAAAAAAATATTTATACCTAAGGTTTGATAAGATATCCATTAATTACATATTGGGTATAAGAAAGGACAGGTATTACATTTTTATAATCCATATCACTATTTTTCAGTAGTTCTTGGTTGTCTTCAAAGTACTGCTGGTGATTCATTCTCAGAGGTGCTAGCTAGTGGAGATACTTGCTTTATGAGGAAACAGTAAGAACTTAATATTTGTTATGTTAATTTGTTTGTTTTAATTAGATGCAATGATAATAGATTCAATCATAGTTGAAAAAATCATTGTCAACCATTGTTACCCTCAGCTTCATGCAATATTTGTGTAAAGAATTATACTAAACTGTCAGCATCAATGCAAGGAAAAGATAAATATTTACCTGTATGCCCTCAAGGGCTCCAAATCTAAATGACCATTCGGATTCTAGTAATTTACATTAAAGTATGATAATTAATATGAATAATGCAATTTTTATGTTTTGAAATTTTTATCTAATAAAAGAACATGTTACATTTGCTAATTTTTTTTTTTGGTATTTCATGTACAAACATGGAAATTCCTATAAATGACAGCACCCAGTTTGGTCAAATTATTGATCTACAGTTGCCATCAACTATCTCAACTAAGACATCAAAAAGGAGGAAAACCATGGAGGATGAGGAGATTAAGACCCTTAAGGCAGAGAGGGAGAAGTATATTCAGGAGACAATCAAGCTGAAGGAAGAAGCTGAATATTATAGAATCAAAACATTGTTCTTAAAAAAGAAAATTAATGAAACGTCACAATCAAAAAGAAATTCAGAACAATAAGTTTTATAAAGAAAGAAATTCACTGTAGGCCTACATATATGAGTATATAAAGTATATTCAATGTTTACTAGTTGAATACGGAATTTATTTTCATTGATGGGACTTTTTTTCATGAGTACTAGCAGAGTAAAGATATTTTTTCCAAAAATCCTATGTCATGAGTGAAATAAATTCCTCATTCAACTACAAATGTTGAATTTTCTTTACATTATGCCTGAGGTCAAAGATTAGGGGACAATTTTTTTGCACTGCCTGAGAATCAGTTATTCTAAATTTGCCATCTGTACATGTACTTCTGTCATAAACTTTAATCTCCATTTATATAGGAACAAAAATGTATTTTTTAATACATGGATGCTATATTTTTAACATGATGATTTATTTCACCTTTCTTAGACTCTCCACTTTCAGATGATACCGGGTACATGTATTGATTTTTTTTATTGTTCATTTGCATGAAACTTTTTTTTTTTAAATAATAAAATAATTTTTTAAAATGATAAAATATTTGATTACCACTATTAAATACTAAAACAACATTACTAGTATTATAAAAAATATGTTGTATTAGTGGTAAAGATAGATACACATGTATATAAACATTTTCTAGCCACATTTTAGCAAAATGCATCTATTGATGAACTCTTCTTGAACAGAAATTTTCTTTCTGAGATATTAAATACTGCAAGGTTTCAAAAGAATTGTAACAAATTTTACAGAAAATTACATCTTACAAAATGTTAATTTTTGTTCTTGTAAAGAGAGCACTTGTCAATTATTTATAAGACTGTTTTAAAGTTTTTAAACTACGTGGATCTTTGATTATTTTAAAAGCATGAACTAAAAATTGGTGCACACAATTAATTGATTTCAAATAAAGCAAAATTTTAAGACATCCAAATAAATGATATTTTCAAGAGTTATGGTTCCTTCCTATGGGACAGACATCCTTATATCCAGATACCTGTAATAAAAAATCTCTTGCCTTACTAATGATTCCTTCACTAAATCTGCTATCTAAATGCTTGTGTTCATTTATAAAGAAAAAAAAACTCTCAGCAAGTTTTTGGTGTAAATTTATTGGACATTGATTAAGAAATCACTGTTTGATTATTACATGTCAAGATTTTAAAAATAATTGTGTATTATGTAAATATACATGTAGTACTGGTATTAGTGTTTTTATTTTGTTTAATCATCATAAGTTAATTATATGGAATTTGACCAAAAGAATGTGTTACATTTGTATATTTTGCATGAGAAATGTTTCATCTTTCATCATTTCATAAATGTTCTAAAACAATCATACAGATACTCTCTCTCAACAATTCTCAGTGTACATCTCTGTTCTAAATACTGTACCCATAATTTTAGCTTTTTTTCTTATTTTATTTTCTTAATTCACTGAATTAACTAATTTTCTATAAAATTTAATTTATAATATCCTGTGTGTAAAGTGATACATGTAGCAGTGCAGCGTTAATATAATAAACAATTACATAATTAGTTACTTGCGTTTTCTTTTTTTGGTATCTGATATATCATTACTGGTAATTTTTAAGAAGTTCAAAAATATTTTCAAAGTGTTCATCGTTGTACTGAAATTTTTTTAATTAAATCTATATTTCAATGCCATATAAATTGTTTTTACCACTTATAACCCAAAAGGTTGTATAGCATGCATAATATAAATCAAGATTTGTTTGTAAAACACTGATTTCCCCCTGTATGGCAGCTTTTGGCGAAGGTCAAAGTCCAAGGTCTAGGTCAAAAGATCAAAAGTGTTGTAAAAGATAAGGACCTGTCTTAATGAATATGCAAGCCTAAACAACAACCATTCGGAAGTTATGGCCCAGGATAAAGTTGTTTTTAAAGTGGGTAAAACTCCAAAATCAATGTCAAAATGTCAAATTTGTTGGTACCCAAAGATTGTTCCTGTCACAAGGAATACACCTGAAATATGAAAGTTAGAGCTTCAACCAATCAAAAGTTATGGAGAAGGTTAAAGTTTTTGCGGACAAACAGACAGACAGACAGCTAGACAAACAGACGGTCGGACAGGGCAAAAACTAAATACATGTACCCTCGAATCTATAATTACGGGGGCATAATAAATTATGTATATCTGCATTCACATGTTCAAACCCTGTTATTCTTTTTCCATACTAGTCTATTATGATTTGTAAACTATATATAAACTCAAATGTAAATATCATACATGTATAGACAACTGTACCAGGGATACAGTTGTGGCATAATACTTTATGAAAAAAACGACCTACATATGTAATTTCTAACATCTTTGCCATCCCACTGATCCCTAACATTAAAATTTACATCCCCTTGGTTGATATATACGCCATCATCAATATCCAGTATGTCATTATGATCTATTCCTATATTGTGCAAAACTGCACAGGCCAGAGTGATATGACACGCCTTTTCAGGGGTTGTTCTTAAGCCGCTGTGGAGACATGGAAATCTCTTCTTCAAGATGCCAAAGGCCTGTTCGATGACAACTCTGGTTCTAGCGTGAGCATTGTTAAATCTTGCTTCCGCATCACTTGAAGGGACGGGGTATGGTGTCATTAGGTGGGGTTTGCAAGGGTAACCAGAGTCCCCCAAGAGTAGTCCTGGATATTGTCCTTAAATATAAAGAAATGTATAAGATTACTTGAAATTAAGTATCATATTTGTGCCCCCCCCCCCTTTTTTTTTTAATCAAACCGTGGCAAAAAAAATAGCTTTCTAATTTTTGAGTGAACTCAGTAAAAGTGCAGTAAGCGCTAATCGGTGATTTTCCACGGTAGTGACCCAGGCAATAATTGTCAATAGCAGTAAAGAATGGTTTTCAACCTTGGAAAGGGGGGGGGGGTCCTTAATATATGCACTCAATAATAAAATAGAAAACGTATGTGGTATATATTGAATTACAATGACATTTACAAATATTTGGGTCAAATGTCAGGTGCTTTGATGTTGGTACATGTACAACTCTTTGTTTAAGCCCTGTTCACAGAATTGTATTGTTTGTACATGTATATGCCTAGTTTTTATGAGATGATCGTTTACAGAATTGTATTGTTTGTACATGTATATGCCTAGTTTTTATGAGATGATCGTTCACAGAATTTTATTGTTTGTTCATGCCTAGTTTTTATGAGATCGATCGCAGTTCGTTATCTTCATCTTCAAAAATTTGAATCCAAACTCCAAAAGTTGTTCCAATTTGCCACTCTTAGGGAAATATCGATGATTAGCATCACACTTTTAAAGAATTTTGTAGAATTTACCGCTGTCGAAAAATGGGATTTCTTTCCATATACATGTATATATAATGATTTCAATAATTATTCAATTTAACAAAACTTTACAAATGAAGTTACCATTTTCAAAGGCAATGCTTATATGACTGTCTCGGTAAATCCTGCTGTCATGTACACTTCCAGGCCACTTGGCGACACAGTTCAAAATTCTAAATTTGCCATCGGAGATCATCTGATAATACAAATAATTAAATATTATTACTCGATAGAGATTTTTATAATTTTTAAAAATCTTTAAAAAATATTAATTTTACGATGGCCAGTGCAAATAATTATAATTCAAAATAATTAAAACAAATTACCTGTACATTTAGAGAATGGTACCCTTTTCTATTCAAGAAATCTGGTTCATTTTCTGAAGGTGCCTGAATTTTGATGTACGTACCATCAATGCACCCGAGGACATTTGGAAAACCTAGGACCATGAAATAAGTAACTATGTGAACACACAAAAAAAACATCAAGCATGTTGCAACTAATAAGGGAAAATGATAACCATCTTCTATTACAAAAGTCTTGAAATTATCCACTATTTTGACTTTAAGTTATTCTCAATTATTTTCTTTAATTTGCATTCAATTTTATTATTGAGGTAGTCCCCCCCCCCAAACTCCTGTGGATGCCCCCTTCTTAAATTAAGTAAGAGTCTTCAACTTCCCAAGAATGAGATTTCTCAGTCAATCACACCCATTTTTCGTTCCATACAGGCAGGATTGTACGTTTTCCTAAGTTTAGAGAATGGCCATGCATGTATAATACATTTACGTTATAATAAACTTTATTACATACTGTACATGGCCAATCTCTAAACGTAAGAAGTACAATCTGCTTGCATGAAACGGCATAGGTCGTAATTGAGTGTGATTGATGGGGAAATATTATATATTTGAGAAAGTATAAGTTCTTACGATTTTTTAAATTATTGTGTGTGTGTGTGGGGGGGGGGGGGTTTCCACACTTCAGGTACCTGTGAATCTCACCTTTCCCATATATTTTTTTGGCCAATTATGTGTACATGATGGCATAAATATAAATCGTTCCATATCTTTTCTTTCTTTTTGTATTTTTTTTTAAAAAGTTTTATTGCTGTATGCGAAAACAAAACGGCTTGATTGTTTTATTGATTCGAAGGATTTATGGTACGATGTAACTTGCACCCATTTGTTCTGTGATTACTTCCCCTGTTTTGTTGTTTACCTGCGATGGAATAGAAATGCTTTTTCACTCCATCAGCTGCATGTCTTGCTGGCATCCTTATAAATTGCCGTGACATCTGACACAAAGCATGACACACATCCTTAACCGTCCTACACACAGTGGATGGGGACAGGCTGTCAAATGTATCGGCTACAAAGGAATAAAAACCTCCGATGGCGAGAAATCTCAGTGTGGCCATAACCTGCAGAAGGGGGGTGAGGGCACAGCTTCGCAGAGTGTCTCTCTCGAGAAATCGTCTTAATAAATTCACCACGAACAAAATTGTGTCCGGGCGGAAACGATACCTTTTGAATTCTAAAGGATTTTCACGGTCAACAAGCCTGTTGTGAGCAACTCTCTGTCTATGTCGACGTCTACGACGCTGCCGTCGGTTGTTCACCGCCATGTTTGAGATTTTTTTAAGGACTTAAGTTTACTAACAAGGTAACTTAAGTTTTTTCTCAGTTTGAGTAAGAAAAAGAACTTAAGTTTTTTCGAGAAATGCAATATTTTGAGTTTTCTCAAATTTGAGATTTTTCTCAGAAATTTGAGTAAAAACTCAGACTTAAGTCTGAGATTTAACTTAAGATTTTTTCGAGAAATCTAAGCCTGGATCTTAGTTTTTCTATATCTCACAACAATACATATCTTGCCAATGTTTGTAGGGACTGACCCAATCACTAAGCAGGATGTATGTTGGCCATGTTGATGGGGAACTTAAATTATTTTTGTTTTTAATTTTTGCTATGTGCTATATCTGCTTGAATTTTTAAGTTTCCAAGCTACCTATATTTCCTATTATTACTACAACTAGTGCTTTTTAATTTGATTTTCTGTGTTTAATGTGGTGCTTAATCTAATTTGCTTTATGAGTATTATTTATTTTTTTTATTTGTTTATTTTTGTTTTTCTTTTAATGCAAATATTATGCATTACAATTTCCGTTTCGTTTCTAATAATCTCGGGGCTTCTTTGTTTTATTTACCATGTGTGTGTAATATATGTACATGTGTTTTTCGCATGCTTATTTATGTTGTATATTATTATTCCTGTGATATTTTTAGCTGTGATAGTCGGTTTAAGAGCTCTACAGAGCTCATGTTAATTGTTATACTATATACAAAATGCCACTTTAAATAAAATTTACTTACTTAGTAAGAGGCCTGTTGGCGAAATGCTCACCTTGCATTTTCCCCTCAATTTTATACATGAATATACTGGGTATTTTATGTAGGTAAAAATATAGAATAACTATTGTATCTTCATTATCAAGGTAGAGGTGGGAGTTAAGAGGCGAACACTTATGTGCAGGTATTATTGTCTTAATGGGAAAGGTCAGGTAACGCATATATTAAAAAAAAATAAATAGATTATAGCATGCTTTAAACACCTACCAAATATCCTATCCAATACTGTTATTTAAAACCGTAAATTAAGATCATTTATCTGTCCAGTGTTTACATCTCCCACAGATGCATGGAGGCTGCAATGATAACATCTCTGTGACGTCAGCAAACCGCTTTGGCAAAACTCGCTCCATTCTGACCAGCTAATAAACAACTTTACCAAATGGCACAGGAAAATAAATTTGGAATTATATTATATGTATACGAGCCTGAGTGTACAGAAGAAGAGCTTGAAAATCTTAATGATGATAATGCAACAGATGCAGTAATTATTCCTGCTGTGGAAGAAGGGTGTTTCTGTGAACAGTGTGAGGTAACGCTCTCTGCAGTGGAACGCATGTGTTGTAAACATTGTGATTACACATTGGCGAATATTGACAACTTGCAGTGTATTACAGAACACGAAAAGTTTGATTTATTAATTCGAAACCCAGATTTTCTTCAATAGCATTTATTCAGATAATGTTGTACAAGAGACAGCAAGGACGTACACCAGAACAAGTAAGATTAAATTATAATATAAACAACTACATGTACATGTATTGCAAGTAATAACATCAAATTTATAAGTTTTTATCACTAAATAGAAAACACGTGTATTGCAGAAAATTTCCATACAATACATTTTTTCAGGCAGTCCAGGTTAAAAGCTTATCGACAATTTGCTGGATATTCAGAGGGGATAAGTTGGGAAAATGAAAGAGGGTGACAATTCCAGCATGTGTTGTTAAAAAAAATTAGAAAACATTTCCCCGAGTCAAACAGACAGCACACTGGTTTTAAAACAGGTTTTGAAAGCATACAAGATCTTTATACAGTGGTTAATAAATAAAGTAGCATTTCTTATCATTGTTAAGTAGTTTATTATATTTAAAAAATTATTAAAAGTAAGATATCTAATGATAAAACAGATAGACATTCATTTCAATGTGATCAAATTTAATTGTTACTTTTAGAGCATATTGTCATAAACTCTTTTGAACCTTGATACAAGTTTTAATACAAGGTCAGTCCTATTTTGAGGTTGTACCACAGGCACTTGGGGTCTGGACCCCCCCCCCTTTTTTCCATTTTTTTTTCTTTTTAAATATGGAGTCGATTCACCTTTTTCCCTATTTTTGTATTCTAATATGCACTATATGTTATAAATAATGTAACTCTTTTTTCTCTATATGCTGTTTTTAAATATACCGTTTTCGACTGATACATAAAAAGAGAGAAGGCTTGCAACTCTTTTCTCGTCGTCTGCCTCACCTCGCTTAAACTTCGCCTGATTATTTATCTAAAGCATAAGAATACATGGAACATGCATACATCAATAAATTTGTTACACATTCTTCTTCCTTTTCATATTTCCATTTAATTTGTATGTGCCCCCGATTTGTAAATATTTCGATTAAATCAACCGCATCTAGGGTAAATTTTGTTCATGTGCACTAGCTGGGACGGAAGTGCAATAACGGTAACTCTAACTTTACAAATGTTCTGTATATAAATAAAAATTCAAAGCTTTGTAATAAAAATTTTGAGAAATGTGGTTGTCTAGCTCGTATGTTAAATGTTAATCTTCATCCATTAGAATCTGCTAGTTAGAGTTATCTTGTTATACAAAGAACTTACCGTTACATGTATTATGAAGAGAAAATTCGGGATTTTTTCCCTCTTTCATTTAATGTTCCGAATGACATTACACTTAATGATGACGCCCGAAAATACCGGACACTTCCGTCCCAGCTAGTGCACATGAACAAAATTTACCCTAGATGCGGTTGATTTAATCGAAATATTTACAAATCGGGGGCACATACAAATTAAATGGAAATATGAAAAGGAAGAAGAATGTGTAACAAATTTATTGATATATGCATATTCCATGTATTCTTATGCTTTAGATAAATAATCAGGCGAAGTTTAAGCGAGGTGAGGCAGACGACGAGAAAAGAGTTGCAAGCCTTCTCTTTTTATGTATCAGTCGAAAACGGTATATTTAAAAACAGCATATAGAGACAAAAGAGTTACATTATTGATAACATATAGTGCATATTAGAATACAAAAATAGGAAAAAGGTGAATCGACTCCATATTTAAAAAGAAAAAAAAATGGAAAAAGGGGGGGGGGGGTCCAGACCCCAAGTGCCTGTGGTTGTACTGGTGCAACATTTCCCTTTGACCATGTCGAAACTTGCAAAACAGTGATTGCCATTGTTTGCTTCTGCATAGAACTTCATCAAAACGGGAACCCATTTGTACAATTTGGGATAATACACAGGTTTAGCAACCAAGTTGGACACTACTTTGGAATATGCTGTTTTGTAGACACCAATTCCATGCTCATCTACTTTGTGACCCCTGTTTTGAGACATATTACGATCAATGACTGCAATTGCTGTTCCTCAGTTCATTTTATCAAAGTCAAAATATTGCCTTTTTGGAACATATTTTGTAAGAAGACTATAGTAGACTTCAAGATTGCCAGTGTGACAGAATTCACTAAGATGAGTAATTCCTTCAGTAATCTTTTGACCTGTACAACCTCTTTCAGGGCATTGTGTGCTTTTGAATTCTTTTTAAGCCACTTTTTTTTCCTTGCATCCTCTGGACTGATATTCTCATGAGAACATGATGTAGCTATTTCACCCTCAAATGTACGCTCATTTACAACATGATGCACAATAGATACGCAACCTTCCTGTTACAATTGTTTATCACCCCAATAATTATCTGAGTACCACCATAAATGGTTACATATTGCCTTAATTCAAGCAGACAATTCTTCACATCCACTTGGTATTAGATTTTGCAGTAATTTCTTTCTTACTGATTTAGCTAGATGCCAAACATCAAATTAATGATCAATGTTTGGAAATTCCTTTGCTACAAGGCTCCTAATCTGAACATGCCTATCAGTTGCTAAAATTTCAATTCTTAAGCCCTTTTCAACCAAATACAACATGCTTCTCTTAAATCCCCCAGCCTCCATTTTACTAGAACTTCCTGTTTCTGTAACTTTAACATTAACAAGAGCCACGATTTCTTGCGTTTCCAAATCCATTAAGGAGTATGCTCAATATTTCGGATTAAATCCAGGAGAGTCGCATCTACCATCTCCAGCTAACCTTAGACAACGATTTGAATCTTTAATTTTTTTGAAAATGTCTTGCATAGCATTCTAAGAATGGTCAACTACTGGCATAACTTTTTCTCTCTGCACAGTCTGATATGTCTTTTTGCTTATAAACTGAAGGTTCATAAAATTAACAAACTGAGAAATGTGTGTATATCTTTGACCTGCAAACAGGGTAGCTGCACATACTAGCAAATTGCCTACAGGCATTTTTCCTAACAGTGGTTGAGATGACCATTTCTTAACTATATGACCACCAGTACAAAAACCTGACACCTTGACCATTGAACCAATGTACTCTTTAATGGTATCTAAAGGGTCTATTGGGCATTTACAAATATTACATGTTAAGAAGTTCAGGATATCTTCTATACAATTTTCAAAGACAATAATATTTGTTGTTTGTACGAGAGATGAATACTCATCACAATTATCGTCAACATCATCTTCTTCATTGTCATCTTTTGAATCATTCATATTTTCATGTTCTTCAATTATAAATATGCAATCTCTGCTCTCATGACTTTCATCAACGTACAATCCTGGGGCAGAGTCATCCAAAAGAAAACCTACTTTATCTTCATCATTTAGACCTGGTGAAATCTTTTTCATTGGAGTAGAAGTTAAGATGTTGCTATTGTGTAATTCTCTGTAACTTCTGTCAATGTCCCTACTTCTAGTATTTGTGCAGTAACTATGGTCAGATGAAAAATGTTAGAGCTTGAGATGCTCAGTTTGAAGACAAATGTTGCAAGGGTGGCCACATAGCCATCAGTTTGAAGACATAGCCTGTATGGAAGCATACTCTCAGATGCCACAGGCTCACTCACAGCATCAGAAGTAGATGCTGCGATATTCTGAGAGTTGATATTCTCTTCTTCCTTAAATATTAAATATGGAAATATCTAATTACTAGAATCCTACATTTATTATTCCAGATTCTGCAATACCTGAGAAAATATGAATATATGTAAACTTCAATTCTACTGACCGTTCACGGTAGCTCAGTCGGTAGAGCGCTCGCTCCGTGATCGGGAGGTCGTGAGTTCGAATCTCGGCCGCGACTGACCTAAGTCGA